TCCTTTCGTCAGCACCGTAGAATCTCGATTGTCCGTACGGCCCGTAACGGTACGTTCGATTATCGTTCGCTCGGATAAACGTTTGATTCTCCGAATGGTATATCTCCGTGTCTCGCGGAGAATAGACGTCGCGTGTACGTGTTCGAGGAGGAGATAATTGCTCGGCCCGCTTTCTCTTTAAGCTCCTTCGCTTTATCTCTAGTTAATGGAATATTGCGCAATTTATTGAAACGTGATTGTTCGTTCATCCGAAGAAGGTTGATTATCCGCGAACGTCACGTCTTCTCGATTAGTTCGGACGATGACGGTGTGAGATAGTAGTAGATTTCACATTATCGCTCCTCTATTTGCTCGGGCTGGAAGTTATGTCTGAAGCTTCGGAGCTTCAAATTTCTGAATCTTCGGCATATTATGTTCGAATGGTAAAATGTTGAAGTGTGAAGTATTCGGAAGTTCAAATATTTGGATATTCGAAACTGTAAGAACATGGAAAGTACATGCGTTCGTTTTGTAGGCATAGTAAATAGTATTTACTGTCTTGAAGAATGTGATTTGTTTTATATTGCGTCATATTATTACATATCACGGCAAAATTTGTATTTATTTTAAAATAAAGTTGACGAGATTTGTTTTTTGTTATTTGGATTTTCCTCGTTTACTTGGATTCTCTTCGTTTATTTTGTTTTAAACTAGACAAATACAAATCTCAGAATGGAACTGAAGATATTTAATCAAACTGATATTCTCCAATTGCACAGCATTTTCTGTGTGTTGCATCCTTCAAAATTAGTTCCATTAACAGCTTTGATATTTCAAATAGAGTTCGAAGCTTCGAATAATTCGGCTTCGAATCGCGAGTCTTCGGAACTTTGTCCTTCAAATGTCGAATTATACCGAAGTTTCGAATATGTCGAATAACATACGCAGAGAATTTTTCTCGGAGACATAAATATTCATGAACCGAAAGCATCATAGTAGCTTACCCGGCTGGGATATACAGATAACGTCGAAACAATTTCAAAGCAATACGAGAAATTTTGGAAAGCTACGCGAACGATTACAACTGCATACCGCTGTACGCATACCATGGTTTATATCACAAACATAATGAATATCCCGTCTTTCATTTGTTCATCAGAAACACACATACACAGTAATACTATACGTTACGCAATATTTACTACCCGAAATAAAATTTTTTCGCACTGATATTGGAAATAACGCGCAGTCCAAGCTGCAGCGTCAAAAATATGTGTATCGATATAAGATATGTTTTACTTTTCTGATATTTCCTTGTGCGTACGATAAATTTATATAACATCAGATGAAAAATATAGTTGATCAAACTATTCATTTATTGCTGTGGTACATAAATTTTGACTTCAATTCATATTCATGATATACAGATATACTCGCGTATGTCCCAGTCGCGCGATACAAATCTGGTAAACTATGCTATTAGTACGCCACATTATTCAACAATAATTTTCTGCGTGTACTACTGTTTATACTTCCGTTTCATTCTCAAGCGGCGAGAGAGCGCGTACTCCGAACGAGATCGGGAGCTAAACCGCAATCGATTTATAACGAGGCTATCGATGATCCTATGCAAATGTTGCGACGCGAAGGTCGCGTTTTATTTTCCCGCCTGCGACCAGTTTGTTCGCAGCCGGATGTAGCGCGGCCGGATGATGTATACGAATATTAACGGTCGGATTTTGATCGCTTAATTGAAATGGCGCTATTCATTAATCTAGGATTAAATCAATTTGGCGACACAATAACGATAAAGGGACAGAGATTCCTGTTTTTATCCTCATTTTACATTTGTGTTCTTTTTCCCTCCGCGGAGATTGTGATTTAAATCGCGACCGATGAGGCGCGCAGCCCCGCCATTTAATCGCGATCGATAAATTTTCCTGCGGGCAAACCACTTTGGTATCTCACTGGTAGTAATGGAGCGCGAGTCGAGAAAATAAATTCGCGTAAAAGCACGTCAAATGATGATTACCGGCTGTCGCGAGTCGTTCGGGAATCACGTGTACTAAATGTGTAAAGTATCAATAGTCATTTTTTTTCTCGATTACGGATTTACGATTACAGAGCTCGAACGATATAACGAGCAAGACAGATGTCGCGTTGCCACGCTGCCGATTTCCTATTGATCACTTATTTCATATTAACGAGCAATTGTTATTTTTTCGTATCCACGCGCAAGCAATCGTCTCAAGTTCCATAGATCAATCCACATTTTTTACGTCAGTTTATGCGACTCCTGCGGTCGATTATGTCTGCATTACGGGGCCGACGAAGCAGCGAGGGCGGCACTGGGGGATTTCAACGATGATATATCGTTATGGCCGCGGGAATACCGGTATCCCTATGCGTCTCGGTCGCGCAATCGTCTACCGTAACAATAACTACGTCCTTGTCTCTTTACGATACATCGCGCGGCAGACCCCGCGGAGATTCGCTCGTGGAAAGGCGATCGACAAGGGCACAAAGGTTCCATGCAAATCAGGTCGTCGCGAGAGAAAAAAAGCAACCGGGACACCGTGAGCGTAACTCGAACGGGAAAGAGAGAGGAAAGAGAGGCTCTCGCGGGCTCGCATAACATGTCGGTGATAAAGCGGCGTATCCGAGCGATCCCCGCGTCTCGATGTTTACGGCGCGGATGCGTGTCGGAATATTGTCGCGTCTACCGAAAGTACGACCACTGTTTTGCATCCCGCGTACACAACCTCTCGGTTGAGTGTTTCGGGGCTCACGTTGTGGACGGATCGACATTTTTCACTCCGCCGCAATACGTTATTCCCGCAGGAAATTCCCCTCCTCGCGAAGCGAATCTCTCGACAATGGATCGGAAGCCGGGCAAGACGCACGTCCGTATTTTTATACCGTTGACTCGCATCTGTTACGTTATATCGGAAAATATGTATTTTATTGTGTATGCACAGAGGAAAAAAAAGTTTCTTCGGGTATACGTGTTTCTTTTAGTACACGCGTTGGTCTGACTCGAGTCTGTTTCATACAAACAACGTGATGTAAAAACGTAAAGTATTATCATTTTGTTCGAATGAAAATGTTATTGTTTTATTCAAGTAAGCGAAATGTTGTTTGGTTAGATGAAACAATATTATTTAGAGGATGTAACATTCCGTATTTTCAATCAAACAAATTTAATTTATTAAATATTGTTCTATCGAAATAAGAAAAACAAAAACATTCTTTAATATTCTTCTAACATAGCATTATTTCTTTCAAATAATTTATTGTTTGTAACAACCATCGTAACGTTTGGATGAAAATATAGAAGAAACACGTATATTATTTGACGGTGAAAGATATTTATCGTTCGAAAAACCAAAGAATCCTGTTTGTTGAATCAAACATTTATTTGATTTTCCCATTCCGAAACACAAATTTATTTCAATCAAAGAAATTTTATTAAATCCAGAGAAATCTCTTTCTCTACGTGGAATATTGAAAAATGTTGAGTTTCCAATAGCGCAACGATTCGCCGATTTACGAAAACAAAGAGAGACAAGTGCGGCTAAATTTAATTAACATCACAGACTGTACGACATTAACGAACATAATTCGAATGTTTTAAATATCACTGTATCCGATTAGCCGGCACGATCATTTATAGCTGAAATCGTCGACTATACACATTTATACGGGCATTACAACGCTAGTTAACGCGTCAATGAGACATTTTTGACCGCACAAAGTGTTTCTAGATCGCGCTCGACTTTGCTTACCGTTTTGACGCTATGTTTAGATCAGCGTTCAGCTGGCGACGATAAACTAGGTCGGATTAGCTCACTTCCTTAGTGAGTTTTTTATCCTTCGCCGAAGGAGCCTCTGTGTTATTTTACGCATGTATGCTGTATAAATATCGAAGAATATCGGATTCTGAGCGAACGTCAAGCGCGCGATGTAACATCGTGGTGACATTCGATATCTCGCTGAAATTTTCCTCTTTTCTCTCCCGTCACTTTTTACACTTTTTGCGCTTTTAATGCTGGTTGGGAGCATTAGATTACGTTGAAGAGATGATACGTAAATATCGCGAGATGTGTCCGAAACAATATGCTGCTGCACGTTGAGATACATACGTTTGTTCGTGCGACGACAAACATTGCAACTAAATATCACGTCCGATAGTAACAGAAAATATCATGTCCAATTAGTTACGTATTTGTATTTTGTGTTTACCCGTGATATTTATTAAAGCGTCAAATGGAAAATTGCGCACCGCTGTGGGTGGTAATTAATTTTCATACGGAACTACGCAATTTACACAGAAATATAATGCAACAATTATTAATCGATTAATTACCAAATTCCGCGCGATTGACGTCGAGCCGTGCCGATTCGATGAATGTAAAAACCGTCTTTCAATCACCGTCCTAACTAACGTCAACTTATGCTCAATACGCAATACGAATAAATAATTGACATGTTTACTGCTGCAAGATGCCCTGTTTGCCGAGAAAAGCAAACTCGAAGGCGAATATTTTTATCGTTATTATAAACATTATTAGTTGCGGACGGTATCGATAAATATGCCCGCTTCGCGGTAAAGTGGCTATTTGAATGTTTTACCAACTGCTTATTTACTCGGAATTACCTCAAATTAGGCTCTTCAGAACCCGACTTTGAATTTTTTTGCGCCAAACATCGACCAAGGATTGCTCGCCGCGTATACGTTACAAGTAGGAATACGAGTCTTATTAAACAACTTCACCCGTAACCGGATTTCGCGGATAAACAGATTTTCCGCGTGCGCGGCAGTTTGTTGCGTTGCGTTACACCTTTTATCTCACGGCGATTAAATTTCTCCGCCTTGATACCGATTTTATGCGCGTTGGAATGCAATCTGAAAATTGCGCGCGATAAAACGAGCCGATGATGAAAACACGGCTATCCCAACCGCCACGGCAAACATGCTATTTGCAATGAACGATGCATTTTCAAGTTTTCTTTTTCCTCAGATGAGGCGGTTACTTCTATGGACGCATTTCCTGCTGCTAACCGTGCTGTTAGCACCAGTGCAGAGGGTCGCAGCGTGCAGCTGCGCACCGGCCCATCCTCAGACCAAGTTCTGTGATTCAGATTTCGGTAAGAAGACAGATTGCAATTTTACCATTTTATTCTTTCGCCGTCTGTTATCCAATTAAACTGGAAATTGCACTGAGAGAAAAATATTTGGTTTTTGTAATTATAATCATCACAATAAAATGATAGTCATATATATATATATATATATATATATATATACACACACACACACACACATAGTTCATTTATGCATATAATGTCATAATAACCTTACATGAATATTCCTACTAGTATTTTTGTAGTTAAAACCATAAGAAAGGATATAATATCGATGCCGAAAATTTCTCTCAGTGCGCAATCTCGAATCTCGCTTTACTCGACGTAACAATATTTCGACGAAGAGACCCCGAGCTTATCGAAGCGATGCCCGTAAACTCTCGCGATGGAGAGATTTCGCACATCAGTAACTATAATACGGTATAGTTCCTTCGGTAAAATATGCGCGATTGTAATGCGTGAGGTAACGGCGAGATTCACTTTCCGTCTTTCGTAAAAGTCAGCGACGGCCACGGTTAACGACGTTCTTCTGTCGCAGTTGCCGTGGTGAGGGTGAAGAAGGTTCTCACCATGAGCGAGTATGAGATCGCTTACAAGGTCAAGATAAACAGGGTCTTCAAGGTGTGTATTGTGCGTCGTGAGGCGCGCGCGGGCGCGATGAGGCGTCTGTCGCGAAATGTAATCTAGGTTTAACCACACGCCTTTTTTCTCCCACAGTCGAACCCAAAGGCCGACACGGCTCTGATGCAGAACCTTTTATGGACTCCGTCCGAGGACTCGATGTGCGGCGTAATACTGAAAGTCGGCGAGACTTATGTCCTCAACGGGAGGATCGTCAACGGGAGAGCGCTCATCTCGTTCTGCGGATTAACGATAAGGTGGGCCGACACGACCAGTAGGCAACGCAAAGGACTGAGACAACTTTATCAGCAGGGTTGTGTGTGCGATGTAAGTGTTCATTTGGGAAAAAAAGATCCCAATTCGAAAGACGAAACATTGCGAAACATTTTCGCGAAACACGGGTGGAAAGCATTTCGTACTTGTATTAAAATCGGTTCTTGATAAAATGTTCGTGTTAAATTTTTAACAGACCCCGTGTGTTAATTTAACATATTATGAATATGTAATTGAGTATTAATTTATGACATAATATTTGTTACTTTTCAACGTATCCACATCGTGTTAAATTAACACCAAAATTTATACGGGTTCATTTATGCATATATTTATGCATAACTTATTAACGTCGTTCGGGACACGTGAAGTGTGTTAAAATTAACGCGAAATTTTTAACTGTGCAGCGACAAGAAGAAGTCGCGATCGATGGTTTCGACAGGTAAATCCGGTGGAATCGTTTGTATAAATCAGACGCGCGTCATGCAAAATTAAATATTTCCCCGACCGACCGTGAGCTAATGCAGACTCGATGTGCGAAGGGTGAGGTCGAAGCGATAAATCAGCCGCGCTGTAAATCCGGCCACTTTTATATCGGGTGAGAGTGCTTCCAAAAAGTGTCCTAAAAATATACGCGCGCGAGATCTCCCGCGAGATCGCGGGCGAACAGAAGGAAAGAGTTGCGCGTTCGATCAATCACGGGGAGATTTTCGCGAGACGCGAGAGTTTACGCGACTGAGGAAGCCGGGGGAGGATCGGGCGAGGGATAGGGAGACAGAGACAGAACGTGGAACGTGAGAAAAATGGCCTGGTTTTTGTATCGCAGATTCTGTATACACACTGGAGACGCAAGGGCGCCGTGCTGGAGTCCAGCGGTGGCAAGCGTTGCCTCTGGGAGAGCACACCAGGCCCGCAGGATTGCCAAGAAAAATACGGCGTGTGCATGGTGGCGCCGAGCGGTTGTTCCTGGGTTCCCTCGGTCCCGTACAAAAATTGTATCAAGGAGCACCAGCGTTTGCGCGAGCAGCAGAGAGCGCGGGAACCTTAACTCCGCTGACATTTTCGTGTCGGACTCGGTGTTCTTCGGCGGTGAGAGAGGGAAAGGGAGAAACGACCGGCTCCGCCGGTCGCAAAACGACGCGCGGCCTGCCTGTCAATCGGCCTGATCGAGCGCGTCGGCGATAATTGAGTCACTGAGGGGCGGAGTGGTGTACGGTGACAGTTTAATGGAACGAACTATTCGCAGAGCCGAAAACGACGGAGTTCTGAGCTCTCCGCTTTCATCGCGAACAGCACAATAGCTTGTTAATAGGTCATCGCGCGCACGTATAAGGCGACGTGATTCTTCGTTTCTTTTTTATGCGTTTCTGAAAAGTAACATTCATCGTCGGGATTATAAAAATATTTCACCGATTGGTAAATCACCTTCGTGTTGCTCGCAACAGCGCCCTTTCGAGTGACACGACATTTATCTTCGAGCGGAAATGTTGGGTTTCTGGATCTTCGAAACCGGCGAACTCTGACCCGATAATAGTGACACTTCGTGACACTCCCATTCTGAGGGACGCGATTATGTACGTCGATCGATGACGTCAGGGTATCAACCTTCGTGCTAATTTGTACGTAGACCTCGAGAAGCGAGCAGAAAGGATGCTCGCCTCGAGGAATCGGTGTAGTATTGTAATTGTTAAGGTATGGAATCATCTATCACGTGTTAAATTATTCGTAGCTCGAGTTCGGTGGCGACAACGTCGGCTAATTTTTACTCCCGCATTTTCATCGACCGACGCTGGAAAAAGGATTCGGTAGTAAGTATTAAAATTTGCTGGATATTTGCCGAATCAGTACTTGATTACCGCAACCGAATAATTTAGTTTCGCATACTAAATATAAAATGTACGAAACTGCAATACTGTGTACACATAACTAAATTATTTGATTGCAATAATCAAATAATTAGTCGGCGAATATTGGTCAAATTTTCATATTTATTACCAAATCTTTCTTTCAGTGTAGCGACCGGCTATTACGTAGGTTCTATGATGTATAAAGAAAGATGACTTAGTTAATTACGATTAAGCTCTAACCGACGTTGTTGAAACCGATCCTTAACCATACAATTATTATTAATGAGGAGTAAGTTTGTAGCGCCAAGCATTTCGAAACGCGCCGAGATACCCGATACGCCTTTCATCGCTGAAACGTATACGGGCGTCCTATTTTCTCACGGCTATTCTCTCGATGAGTTGTATATATTATATATTATACTATATATTATATTGTCAGTGTAAATTGTGCATCCTTAAATTATTCCAACTGTCGTTTCGTTGTACGTAGCCTTAGACGTCGTTGAGACGTACTTTATACTCCGTAAAGTTTTATGTGCGTTCTTAGGTGTAAATTAGATTGTACCTCTTTACGCATGCTCGTTAATTACGCAAATTATTGTTCGCAATCCGTGCATCCCGTCTAACTAAACGAGAAGCCTCACGCAATTCGGGCTCGCGATTCTACAAACGAAGCGGCGGTTTCCTCTACGAGATTTCGATGCCGCGCGATAAAGTGCATCGTTCGACCGCGCTTTGATCATTATTGCGTCCGTTAACGGTTTCTCGTGGAACCAGCGATGTCTAAGTGAATCGGAATTCAGTGGAAGATACGAAAATTGTTACCGTAACGGGAGATTTGTTTGCATTTCCGATCGGGAGAGGAGGAATTTTGTACCTATGCGTTAGTTTAGTTCTTTACACGCGGTAATTTCGTAAAACGTTACGCACACACGATATGTAGAACAGAAATAAACGAAAATGGCGGTCTTCTCGTATGCACACGGACGATACTCTCTTTCCCGGTGTTCCGCCGGTTTTATCGGAAAAATTCCGAGGAGATGATAGCATTAAGTAAATATTTGTCGATCGATTTCACTCACCATTTCGCGATGATTGGGGTAATAACTCTGCTCGATGAGGGGGAAGTTGTCTTTACCCAAACGACGTTGCAGCCCCAGCAGGTGCGCAAATACCCAAGGTTTGTCCTATAATTTCGTAAAGCACATAGAAATTATTGGAGGATTCCAATCGTGCTGTGTACGATGGGCACAGATATAATAAAATCGATGGGAGTTATCACGTACGAGAATTGGGCATGGAATGTGTAATTAAATTTCTCGATCGACCGATCATATTCTGTTCAAATAATAATTTTCGCACCTCAAATATAGATTAAATAACTCGTAAACTCTTTTTACGTAACCGGAGATAAAACGAACCGCGCGGCATTGTATTCATTCAATCATTTTAATCAATTCGATTTTCCGCGTTGGCGGGGGTTACGTTTTTGGCGAGAATGATTGATGATAGATTTGTTAGAAACGGAGGCTTGTCGATTCGTTACCTGGAAGTTGTAAATCGCAGTAAGATTGTTAACGCTGGGCACACCGCCGTACATCAGCCCGAGAAGAAGATTCTTGTAATCTTCTCCGGCATCCCGCAGGTTTTGACGTATTAATACGAAATCAGGCTTGAAGGATCTGACAACAAACAGTGGGCGTTGCATATTTGACATTTCGAATAAAATTTTCATCGCGAGCTTGTCATTTTATTTGAATATCGATATCAATTTCATGAATTTTCAAGAAGCGAGTGAACTTTTATTTCTCCGATATTTAGAAATATTCAGATGTAGGATAAATGTGAAAAAAATAGTAAATTCAACGTGACTGCAATTTTGTTTGAGATATTGGAAAGTATTGATATTCGAATATGCAAGCGCATGCTCTCGTTTCCGTCTATGATTGACACCCAGCAAGTTCTCACCGGATGACTTTGGTCCCGTTACGATAGACTGCCATGGACACAACGGTGCCCGCCTCGCTCGCTGTCAGGGACAATTCTCGAAATTCCGCCTGCTCGACGCGGATCTCATAATCGCTGTGCAGTCTACGTCCCCGGAAGTATTTGCTCCAGTCGGTGTTCTGGTCGTCGATCACCAGCAGAGTGAAGCATCGGTCTTTGCTGTATGACGGGCCTCTGGTCGCGCCAGACACCGCCGCTCCCAGAATAGAAGCACCCTATAGGTCATTTTAATTGTCAGACTTCTGCGACGCTCTCTCGCTCTTTGTACGATATAGTAACCGAATAAACATGGAAGGCGTATCGATCGCAATTAAGCAGTTCACTCTGACAAGAACGGGTGACGTTGCGTATCGAGAGAGACGGACTTAACGAATGGAACTTGTTCAAATTAGAAAGAAGAGAAGACCATTCAGCTGCAAGAGAGAGACGTTGCGATTCTGACAAACGCGTAATTAGAGTCCCTCGGTATGATGTCGCGATATTGATTAAAAATTAATAGATTTACAGTGAAATTGGTGCCATTATAAATACATCAACGTGTTGGGTAACCTTATATATTACTGAAGTCGATGAAGATAATTAAATGAACATTAATCAAATATCCAGACGTTTCGGTTCATATTAAGGTTTGAATATGTGCACAATGTCCTCGACTTCTCTTGTTATTCGACGATTGACTGATTGTTATTGACTGAAGCCTTTTATATTTATCGACTTCTCCTACATATCTTCGATATATTTCTCTCCTCACTTCGGTTATGCCTGTACGCTTACTTTAGTATAAAAGGATTTTTTGTTTTACCCACAGACTTAATTCCATTTTAATTTAAAAGACTTATTTGTCCTATCGAAAAATGAGTAATCTTTCTCTTTGTTTATCGGAAGATTTCTAAAGAAGAACGAAAGCCATAAAATACCAATCCTCACAAATAACTAGAACCGCCGAGAGAAGAAACCTAACTAAAATTGGAATCAACGACCCCAGGCGCGAAGGCAAGCCGAATTAATAATTCAACTCTGCGTTTACAGTTACATCGACGGTGCGGAACAATCGCTCCCCTCGTCCTCGATTAGAGTGACAGAGCTAATTTCCGTGTGACTGCGAGTGGCGTACATCAGCGTGGATGCAAAGGGCGTGGACGAACTTGCCTGGTCACGGGCGGCGCCGGTCAAGCTCTGCACTCGCTGGAGCAAACTCTCCCGGGTCTTCGCCGGCGAGGACGGCGCGCTGGTGGTTCTCGAGCCGGGCCTCAGGTTAAGGCTGAGGTCGCCGCCGATCGGTTGCGGCGGTCCGGAAGGTGGCGCACCTGGGATCGGCGGCTGGGACGGCGGTGGAATCGGGCCCGGTTGGGACTGCAGAGGCCGGTCCGGCACCGTTTGATACGGCTGGGACGAGTCCTGCCGGCCCACGGTGGCCAGCCCAGGATCCGCGTTGGGCTCATCGTCGAGCTCCGAGCTCAGGTCCCCTGATGAGAACCTGGAAGACAAGCTATGGTGGTGGTCGTGACAGTGGCAATTTGGCCGGCAGCTCCGCGCACTGACGCCGTCGTGTTTCCGACTGCTTGTAATGCACATCGATCACAGCCAGTGGTGACGCTGATGGAATGAGGCGTGGAGATGACGTCGGACGATGAGACTGGTGGTCGCTAACATGCGAACGGCGAGCGTCGGCCTGGCTATTTCCGTTCCGCGCGGAATAGACCAGCGACGGACGCCCGGAAGCTCCGGCTTCCCGACGGTAACGTATTCGTGCGCGCATGTTTCTTTTCTCTCTCGCTTTCTGCGGTTACTGTTCCATCGCGCTTCATTCTTTATTTCCCGCCGTTTCACCTCCTTAAGCCTGGAAATCCTTTACGCGCGAGCGAATTGTCTCCCCCGCGTTGAGCATGAAACGCGCGCCGAGGCGCGAACAGTGCGAGGTATCCACACGAAATCGCGTCGTTGCGCATTTACGTCATCGACTCTCTCGCGCGCATACACAGACGCATCAACGCGCGTCCGTGTGGTTACTCGTCGAAAGTAAAAGCGGCAGATGAAAGACGCGATATCGCTAAAGCGAGAGCGGGGGGAGAGGCGGCGGGAGTGGCGACGTTATGTTGACGATGCCATGTGTAAAGCAACATTAGCGCGATGGCTTGATATCGCGCGTCGAGATTGCATTCGGGGCAATGCTGGAAGCGGTATTTTTAACGAGCCGCATGCACACATCCAGATCTTTGCCGAACACGAAAGGCTTGGAATTATTAATAACAACATCAAGATACCTGCGTGCCTCACAGATTCGCCGTTAATATTTTAGCGCGGTATACTTTCGAGCTTATCCAACACCTCGAGTCATCTTCCTCCTCCCCCTCCCCCCCCCCCCCCCCNCTTCACCTCCGCGCGATCGATTAACGGTATTTTCAAAGATAACAGACTGCCCAGGGCTATATACCGTCGTCCTTTACATGTTTCCATCGATCGTCTTTCATCAGCTTATCGGCGTAGGCTTTTATTCTTAATTACACTTAGAGGAGAAGGTGATCCCCCTTATACGATCCCCCTTTACATGTTGTCTAATAATTTTGCTAATAATCAATATTTTTAATTGAAGACTTAACGATTACGTTTGTCAAAGTGTCGTTCAATCGACACTGGGCTTAAATTTATGAAATATTTAATATCTAAAACGTTATTTATAAAAATGTGACGGCATTGCAAAATGGGTCGAAGAGAAATGGGATGGTAATGTGACCTCCGCTAGAATAGATTTAAAAAAGTGTAAAAATACATTTTTTAAATTTAATTTGAATTATTGACTTATCGAATAATTACTTCGACATAATAAGCTCGAAAGTTGGAGAGTAGAAATACATTATAACAAATGTCGGCTATTATATATTGGTCAAGACTGGGGAAGATACTTTTGAAAAAATCGTTATTCAAGAAATAGCGAATCCTTACAATTTCTGTTATTTTTTCACTAAATTTGTCTAATAACGAAGATATTAGCCATAATACCAACAAAAGCCATAATACCATCCTTCCCTCTAATATCTTGATAATTGTCCTCATTCGTTTTTAATTAGTGATTGAAATAAAGCCAATTCTGACGGGTTCGATTTATGATCTATAAATATAAAAAAAATACAGTAACGGAGTTTTCTTTACTGAAAATTCTCTATTGTACTGTACTGTTTTCTTCATCTCAGTTCCCGCACCTCGCACTGTCATGATTTTGTCACATTCTGGAAACCCTTGTGAACTCCCGTCGAGTTTCAGTGACTGTCCCAATTTCTAACACCGTAACTTTGACACGTTGTTTACGGAACGGCGGTTGCTTAACGAGCAACTCAGGTAGGACGCGCGTGTCCGGCTAATTGGACAGAGGAATCTATTTTCCTTTCACGGACGCATCGTGAGAGCGGACAAGAGCTCGTGGAGTATCGAGATACTGAGCGCGCGTGTGTTCAACGTTTTAACGGCCGATCGTCATTATATGCACGCTCGTGTGCGTAAATTTACTCGATATGAGAGCCACTCATGAAAGGATTCAGCCTGCCTGTGATGATGCGATACACGTACTTTCATCAGCTGTGCCTTTCAACAACGTATTCACTCACGTGTGAGATAGCGCGGGTGTTTCGATCGGAACGTTTACATGCTCGATTTTAATTACACGGATTAGTGGATCCCCGTCCGATTCCGATAACGGTATGCGAATGTGTTATTGGCAATCACGCTGAAAAGCCGTTTAAAGGTACGGCTAATATAATTGGGATTTCAAGCGATGCTCGCAATTGTAAGTGGTTTCTTATATCGGCGGATATAACGCCGGTGAGAAACGACGAAGAAACAAAACTACATTGCGTAAATTATGTACTAGGTCACGGTAAAAAAGTTCAGTTCGATTTTCGATAGATAACTTCACGTGCGTGTAATGCAGGCAACGATACTGATAATATCCTGTCGCTAGACCGTCGGCGAAGGACTGCAGCCAACGATGGTGATTACCACGTTGATAACTTGTTTCCATTGAAATTGGAGCGAAATTTTTTATAGTTTTAAGGCCTCGAAAAATCCCGTTTCTCCCCTCGTTTTTCCGCGGATTTCTTCGGTTTTTCTCACAAGAGCACAGAAATTCGTTTAGAAAAATTCACGCTTGTTCGATTAATATCATATTTACTTTTTCTCGCAAAGAAGATAAAAAACCAAAAGGATGCACGGAAAAATTGATAAACAAAAAAAAAACGGGGGTTTTCAGAACTGTAAAACTATAGAAATTTCAGTTCTGCGTTAAGTCTACTTAGTTCTATAGTTCTATATGAGGTCTTCAAATATCTTCTATTGCCTTTTATCGCTTTTTGATGCTACAAATGGGAAGTTATTTCCATATTCCTCGCTTGAAGACTTAATATAGAACTAAATCAACTCAAGGCAGGGCTAAAATTCGACTCGGATTGTCTCAAACATCGAACTGAACTTTTCGACCGATCCGATACTCAGCCCGCCTACTTTCTTGCAGAACCGGCTAACATCACAAAACTCTTATCGGTCGTTTGCAATTGAGAAGTCTTCTACAAATCAGCAAGAAGCTTACGCCGTACGGTCGCATTTTGCATGCAGATTTCGGATTCGGGCTGGCATTAGCGGGCTGATCGACGGTAGCGAAGTACCGGCCAATTAAGTATCTCGATAATTTGGTATTCCCGAGGAGTCGCGCACACGCCGGCGCAATTACGGGACACGCGCCGAATGGTCTCGGCTAGTTGCGGAAGGTACGCGCGGCCGTGAATTACAAACTCGCGGGATGAATGGAGATATTAAATGCCAGCCCCGGAATCCGGAGCGCGGACGCGATGGCAGCGGCGACGATGACTCACCTCCGTTTCAGGTAGTTGACATTGGAGGTGAAGGACTGACGGAAACTGGAGAATGAAATGTTGCCGGGTGATGGAGCTGTACCACAGTACTTGGCGCAACCGCCGCGGCCGGTAATCTTGATGGTTACACTGGTCTTGCAGTCGCGATGAAATGGCGCGCGGTTTCGTCGCTCAGGCCGTTAGCGCGATCTGCAGGACAATTCGCTCTGGTTCCTTGCAGCGCTTGCTGATGGTACAGTGTCGTGGAAGGGACGCGCGAGCGGGTCGTTGCAGGTCGATAGATTGGCTCGATGGATTCCCGTGTCCGATGGGCGGACTCTCTCTTTCTCTCTCTCTCTCTCTCTCTTTCTGCTCGATGCGTCGTGGGATAAACTTCAACGTAAGGTAACCCGAAAGGAAAGGATGAAATAAGAGGAGGTGAGGAAGGAGAAAATAAACAATCCAAGTTGAAATCTGCAACAGGTAAAGGGCAGAAGGCGATTGGCAAGCGAGACTCGTACGCGCGAATGTACCGCAGTACGTGCAATTTGTATCGCTTCAAAATGGAACTGCGAATATTCGTGTAATTCTGTTAAATAGGTGTAACATATGAGAGATAATAATTGAGTCAGAATAGTATTAGCAAGGCTCGGTTTCTGCCGTGATACACACGGCCGGATTAATTCGCTATCCTTTTCACCTGCATTCAAGCCCGTTCTCGATTCACCGGAATACTCGAGTTCCACGTTTGAATATTCGAGCGACGCCCCCGGAGATCCCTCCGCCCCTCGGGGGGAGGGGGCATTTGTACACTTTACAGACCTAATTCAAAGAGCTTTCCCTTCCATTTCGTGCGGCTTAAATGAAACGATCGCGGAACGGCACACTTTTATTGTCGGACATCTCCTCGTAATTGGGTTCTCCACCGTATCGGAAACAGCGAGGTAAGGCCGTAAAACTGGCTCTGTGTTCTTGTGACCTTCTTCATGCCTCGTGCACAGGTCTGCGCGACATTACTACGCTAATAAAAGCAACGTCAAAAACTCGATAAGATTTAACCTTTCGACGTGTAATACGGAACCCGCGGTGTGCACGCAGGGATATTTAATTATATTAAAAAGAGCAAGGGGCTTGAAATAGTCGCGCCGACATACCGACGGGAGAAACGATGCGGAAGAAGGAACAGAAGCCCGGGGGCGGTGGGGGGGGCGAATGAGCTTTTTAAATTCCCGAAAGAGTTCCCCGACGGATAAAAAATTTCAATCTCAGATACGTACGTAAATCGACAATGCGAAGAGAGCGCTCCGGGGGCAGTCACGTATCGTACCATCGGGGGATAAAAATTACCGGACGTAACCGGTGCGGCCCGACGACTCGTTCTGCATAACGCTCGCGAAAATCGATACTCGGGCCGCGATTTCGCTTGGAATTTCTGAAATGCTTCGCGGCATCGCGCGCGCCGGCATTTACGTGTTCCCGGAACATACGCGCGGCATGAAAACGTTACTTCTACGGCTCTCGTCCGTCCCGATCCTATCGGGCGGAGCGTACCTTCCTTGAGGAGGGCTCGCTCGGGGTAATTCTATGCTCACGCGGCGGGAGAAGAAGAAGCGTCGAGGAAGCAATGATACGTTCGAGAAGCGCTCATATTTGTTTCTTGCAGCGTTCTCCGATAATAGCGACGCCCATGGTTCGCGGAACCGGCGAACTTCGCGTGTAGCAATCTCCGACACCTAACTTCCTCGGTACGAGCGAGGGGAAGTTTGCGGCTCAATTGGCGACTGGAACGACGGCGTGAGTTACGGCCTGTTCGCCGCCACGCGATGGACACCGGGTGTCAAACTGAGAGAAAGCGACGTTCCCTCTCTCTCTCTCTCTCCGAAGAAGAATTCCTTACGAGTGAGTAAGTACTTCGAATGCGCAAAACGGCGTGCAATTAAAATTAATCTCGCCGTTTGATCTCGGTTGCGAGAGCGGGCGTTGCATATGCTGCATGACCATGCGATGCTCCAATTTGCGTAATTGCAGAGATTAAGAGTCTTCCAGAGGATCGCCGCGTCCCACGTCCTGCTTTAATCCCTGCATCCAACTGGCTTGAGAATCCTGGTATTAAGTGTAATGAAATTCTCGCGTGGTATCTCCCGATCTTCCGCTCCCGGTCATCTGTCAGATATCCCGCTCGGATTGGAATTCGCGACCGGCGGGGGCACGCCGGTTACAAGAAGTTGCGTAATGCAGGGAAGAAACATGTTTGCCCCGGACTCGAAATGTCTCGGAAATCAAAGATATCGCAGCGACCGAGCGCGCGATACGGAGGAGGATGACCGACACGGTTGTTCCGCGAGGGGTTTTTCATCGCGAAGATAAATTTAGGTGCGCGGGGGCGAGAACTTCCCCTCCTCCGGCCGTGAAAAGAAAATGCATTAAGCGCGCGAAAGAAACGGCACGAAAGAATCGCTCGGGACGCGCGTTTACGCTGATCGTTAAGATCCATCTCTCTCGGCGGCCATGACTGCAACCTCGCGAGGAAAAAGCGGCTTTCATTAACGTCACACGACGGAACGAAAGGACGGGGAGACGTTTGTCACGGCTCTCGCGAGCGGGTGTGAAGTGAAATTCGCTGAAAGGAAAAAAGGAGCAAAAATCAATAGAGACGCGGCTTCACGAAACGCGCCCCTTCGCCCCTTCCACGCTCTCCCTCCCCCGGAATTCCGGCCTGTCGCGGATGTCGGCCCGACATCGGCGGCTTAAATTGTCCCCCTGACTATACCCCGACTATTTATGACTGAACATTGATTGCGCTCCGGCCACCCAAGACACCGGGATCTTGCGCAATGGACGTAAATCCCGAAAAGCCAGCCGCGCTCTCGCCTGCCCACCGAAACCCTCGTTCTCTCAGTTCTCCGGGAAGTAACGATCCCGCTTATCAACGGCCGTCCGCTCGCACGGCCCGACCTCGGCCATCGTTTCAGCGCGAGCGGCCAGCAGTATCTTACCTCGAGGATCTCGCCCGCGAAGACGGTTACCTCCTTCGCCTCCTTCGCCTCCGATAAGCAGTCGCGAGCCCCGCTCGATCGCGAGCCGATTCGATCGTTACGCCCGCGTTTACGACTCGTCGTTCCGCCAGGCTCTCTCACAGACAATACGAGAGGCGAGAGCGACCGTCCGGAGCGTACCGAGCGAAACTACCCGGAGAGAGAGAGGCGCCGGAACTACCCCGCTCGCGGCGAAGACGAGCGTCACGTGAAAGGTGGTGCTGGCGCGCCACCAGTCTGTCAGTCGGCGTACTCCGCGGGGTCGAACTGGCCGACGGACTGATTTTCGCGAGCGGACCACTCTTTCGTCGCGGACCTTCGCGGAATCGCCGGCCCTGCACCGCGCGACGTCGCGCGAGATCGATGTTCTCGCCTAACTGAATACCCGGTCCCGGTTAGCCTCGCCAGTGCAGGCTGAGCACTTACCTGTGTCGCGTGCGTGTACTACCCACTAGTTTGCCGATGAAGCAGTGAGGCTCGGCGGAGAATCGCGAGGGTGTCGCCCGGAGGGCTGCTCCGGTCGATACGCCGACGCCTGCGCAACCCCTTATCTCTCGCCGCTGCTCCCCCGGCGTCTCCCCCCCTCTAATAGTAACGCTCTCGGGGACACCGCGCACTCTCCACCCCGGGGCACGACGGCCTGGAAAAAAAACAAGCCACCCTCGCGACGGTTGCCCGTTGGTATTCGCGCGGGATTGTTCGGTGCGTGTCAAACACGGTCCGCTTACTTGCCGACTGGTGATGAAGCACGTTTCTTGCGCCACCCTTCCGACGACCCCGCGGCTTCCGCGAGGAGGCCGTCGTCGCCTCGTGGAAGCCGAGCCGGCGATTTCGGGGGTGAGGCTGATTTCTTTCGGGAGCGCGCCAAGCCGGCAAATCAATGACGAGGGGTCGAACGCAAGTCCGGGAGCGTTTATTATTAAGGACGCGAGCTTCGACGTCTGTAAGATTCCGCTGCGGCGGGGTGTTGTACGTTCTTGTTGAAAAGTTTCCCCTTTGAGAGATGGCCGCGCGAGGGGACGCTGCTGAAATTGCGCCATTCAGAGACATCCTCTCGGAAGAACGCGAGTTCGGCACGATTGCGAGGAACGTCTCGCGGATATTCCCCCCGTTTTTTGTCCTGTGCAACGTGTCACCTAACGCGTTCGCGGATGTAGACCAGCGGACGTCGCGTCGGTCAGACGAGATATTCGCCGGCAACTGATATCACATCGCACCGGATTCGCGGATAACGCTATATCTGGTGATAAGGTGCGAGTGTCAAGGCGAGGTCGTCGAGAATGTGAGATTTTCATAAATGTTTGATGAGCTCCCTTCGCGGCCGGATGAGAAGATCCGCATATAGCGCGTATGCTTTGCATTCAAAGAAGCACAGCCGGGGCATACCCGCGCGCGTTTGAAGGAAACTTCAATCGATACTCGCGACGAACTTCCCTCTCGAATGCCTCTCGACGAGTTCGCCGCTTGCAGACCGAAGAGCAGCAAGAAGGCGGTGTCAGGCTCTTCTCATCTGGCTGCGGATAATGCGCTCGCGATAAGAAGCGTCGCGGATATAAAGTAAAGATCGCGATAAACCCGCCGCCCGACGGACAACGAAAAAGCGGAACGGAAAGGTTGTGGCAGAGGAGTGGCCGGGATCGCAACGATTGTTAGAAATTCGCACATGTATGTGTCCAAAACGATTAGGACCAACTACTGGAAGTATTTCCGTTCCGTTTTCACGAAAATTCTACAAAACAAATGAAAACAACGATATCACGGGTAAGTTATTTTATCGCAATATCATCGCATAATCGTACGATCATAGTCACATCCGTTCGTTTCTCCGCTACCTCCTTTCCGTCTCGCTTTTTCGTTGTCCCCGGAATGGCGCCCTTAACGCGGACACCGGCACGTTCTCCGTTACCGAGCGACAGTTCTCGCTTCTTGCCAATTGGCGAAGTTACTCGCGCGCGATACGAGCGACCGATGTCACGGTCGGCGCCTCCACGACGAATATCTCGCATTGTTCTCCCCGTTCTTTCTCAGCCCGGGGGAGAAAAACGTCGTCTATTTCTTCCATCTCGAGAGAGAAGGAGAGCTCTTGATGCGTCCGAATATATGATCGATCGCCCTTGCGAGCCTCCGGTCTCTTCAAGAATTACAACTCGGCCAACATCCGTCTTTTGTCGCCGATGCGTGCGTTACATGCGAATGATTACACGTCGCTGCCTTCGTCGCACGGTCTTTGTCCGCCTTTGTGATGTCTTAAGTAGCATCTTGAACAATGCCCCGTCGAAGATGATATATACGAGACCGCGAACAGCAGCGGACAAATCGCTTGTCCCAGAATGGGCTCGGTAAGGGCAACGCCGAGCCACCCTCGAAACCAATAGGCGCGCTTCTCAAAGATTCGCGCCGGCTGGCTTTAATCGCGATAGGTCGGACCAGTCTAGCTCGGGCCCGGCGCGCGGGCCGTTTGTTACGATTTTTCCGCCACCAACCGGTTTCAGTACGTGCCGGTTGTTGTCGTGCGTCTCATTTTTTTTTTTTTCATTCTTCCCGCGTACGTTTGAAGGATGGGCATCCGGGTTCCATTATTTCCGATTTATATGATCTAAATTTAGCGCATGCAGATAAATCGCATATGTATTACGTATTCGAGCGGCGAAGACTGGAAGGATAACAAAGCGATGGAGGTTTATCTTACCTCGCGGCTAGTTAAATAAACGTTCTTATTTTCGTAAGGTCTAAAAGGACGGAACGCGATGCTCGACATAGTTAATGATTACTACGCGCTGTAATGTACCGGTTCTTCAGTTCTGTCTGATGATTGAAGTCAAGTGGCATTACGGTATTAAATCTAGACTGGCTTAGACTTTTAAACAAGGGGAGACTTAGACTTTTAAGCAATATATCACGCTCGCACATCTTATTTTCTTTAATAACAATTGCAATTTCGACTACCAAACGTTCATGACGGGCAGTCTAACGTGGAAAAGCGACTATCAAGCGAATGATAATAGTCAAAACACAGTGAGATGCCGCGAAAAGAAATTTCTTGTCGGAAGGATCAACTTCACACCTACATATCTCCTATTTTTCTAAACAACAACTACAATTTCGTCTGCTAAATATCCACGATGAACTACTAGCTGTTGTTAAAATGTTCATCAGAAAAATAGTAAGATTCAAAATCAAGTAGCGTGAAAGAGTACTAGCACGGGGCTAACTTCACACACCGTATATCCTGTTTCTCTTAATAACTACAATTTCTTAATAACTACCACACGCCCACCTTAGACTACCAGACAAAGGGTAACAGCTAAAATTAAGTAGGATGCAGCAGTATATCCCCTGTGTTGTTGCCAACACAACCTTGAAGAGAAGCAACCTGCCTACCAACCTAGCTAGCTTCACGTTCACTACCTCGTTGATACACCAGAGACCTCAGTTACCAGCCAGTCGCTCGGTTCGTACCGTCCTCTCGTGACGGTACGGCCAAGCAAGCAGCGGTTCGACCGAAACCGGAGACATGAATGCCCGCATCGCGTAGCACAGCGCGTTGGACGAAGAGGGAATGGCCACTGCGACCACGTCCATCCCCACCAGAAAGCCGAACACCTGAGCGTCCCTGGCAGCAGCAGCTCGACCGGGCGCAGTCATTATTGCGCCAGTCTAACACCCGCCAGCGATCTTCCTCGTCGCGGTCGTACCGTGTCGACTTTTCCAGACGATTTCCGAGAGATCTCCTGACGCGGTTAAGCGCGCGCGATACCCGACGCGCTTGGCAAGGGCGTGCGTGCGTTAGTTGGTGCGTTCCGCGAGAGACAGAGAGACAGAGAAAGAGAGAGAGAGAGAGAGAGGAGAACGGCCTCGTGGCACGCCTCGTGGTCGCCTCGTCTCGCGAGCGAGCGCGTTGACTATCGTCACGGTACCCCGGCGGATACGATGAGACTCTTCTCCGGGAACGAGGAAAATGTGACGTGAGACTCTGGCCTTCGGCGGGTCCTTCGGCGAGAGTGCGACACGCTCTGCGACGCGACGCAGTCAGTACGCGGGTCATCCTGCAAAATGACCGCCGCTCCGGTGAGGAGGCTTCCGTCGACGGCGGCGGTGTGCTGCTGGCTCCTGGTGGCGCTCGGTGTCAGCCAGGTGAGTATACCCGCGCGAAACTGCGCGAGCACGCCGCGGAATTCCGACGCGAGACGTTTCAAACACGCCAGCGAGCGCGCCGGAAGTATGCGGATGCGTCGTAGTACTCCGGCGAACTGTTCCGCGGGAAAGCGAGCAGCATCGCGGGGCCTGGGATTAGAAATGGGACCTGTCGTGCGCATCTCGGGGGTCAGGCGGGACTCGTGTCGTTTCGGCGTTTGGAGAGGAAACCTTTTGCCACTCGCGTGGGAGAATTGTTTCAAGATCGCGTAACGTCCGAGAAAATAATCGATGAGGTCACCCCGGCCTGGTGACTCCCGCTTGTGTTACCTAACGTGTGATAGCTTGTCGTCTAATCTTGTTCTTGTCTCGGTCTTTCGGTTACTGTCATGAATAATTAAATGAAAACCAGTACTCGACATTCAACGATCGTGGAAAGTAAAAGGAAATACATTTTACAATCCACGAGTAAGAGGAAACGCGGTAAAACTGGAATAACCCGTGTGTGTAATCGAACTTGAGAAACATTCGTGGTAATTTCTTATCTCATTTTCTCTCCAGCTATTTTGATTTTATTATTTATTTGAAGCTTATTTCATCCGTAGGTATGTTTCGTGATACCATATCGTATCCTTTATCTCGCAGTAGCGCTAAGAACATTTTCCGAAATAAAATCAAAGCGGGACTGAGAAAGAGCGACGATCAATAAATACCCCATCGACAAATGACACATGTAAAATGCGAGCCCAATAAATCAAGAGAGGGCAAGATACGGTAATCGCTTTGGTACATACGCATTAATTAATTCAACCAAGATAAAGACGTTCGATCGCAATAAATAAACGACGTCGCTACCGTGGACGCGTAAACTAATTAAATGTCAAAAGCGAAACTTAGGAGAATGATTCGATGAGAGAGATTTGATAAGCGCGCACCGCGCACTTGTTATTCATCTTCTCCGGCTGGCCCTTTTATTTGTTCATTTTGTTAATGCACATAATGCCCGACGCTACGGTAGAACGCGGGAGAAAATCATAAATGCATAAATCATCAAACAAGAAACGACACTCCGCAGCGTTATGCCGTGCTGACTCAAATTACATGCAACCGCGACTTCTCAGCGATGAATATGCAAAATCAATTTATATTTTTAACGGCGTATGCATATATTATTCATAAACCTTGAAGACACACTGCTGCAAAGGGGCAAAACTTATATTAGCATACGCGCGGCAAACAATATTCAGACGCTTTCTTTCTTTTCGAGTTGTATTCCTTTCGGAGCTCGCGTTGCTTTCGTTGCTCCTCGCATCCACCGTAAACAGCTGGCGAACCGATCGCGAAGAATCGGCATGACCACCCGAACGGACGATACTTGAGAATATCTTGTCATTTCACGTCCTCATAGCGTTTGTGCTTAGCCGCGGCAGAGGGAAGGAATAAGAATCGAACAGCCGTAAGCACACACAGATGTCACGTTCTTTCGCCGATTTCCATCGTGCGCGATTATATCGCAGGCGAGTCGCGGTGCTTAATGTGTATATTTACGGCCGCGCTATTCCTAACTTATTACGTACGGCATTAGCGGTAGACTACTAATTGCTTCCCGCAATCTTTGCGCGAATGTTATGTGACTCGACCGTTGCGGAATTAACCGAATAATACATATTATACGCCACAGTTATTCGTTTCAGTTAACGTTCATCCGTTTTCCCCATTACCTGCGTTATCTCTTTCCTATTTCCTGCCACTCATCTTGACGTAGACATTCCCCGCATTTTCCACCGAACGTTTCACTCGCTCGGGATCACGAGCGAAAGGTATAGATTGGCATCGAAATACACGCGAATTCGTCCTATTCCTTTTCTCGGAGAATACAGTTACGCGTTTTCTTTGCGGACGGCTGAACAAGTCGCGGTAAAGCATGCAAACTAATTTCTCGGTTTCATCGTCCCGCAATAAAAATAACCACGGCGAGAAATGTCGCGATAACGTGAAAGTACTACAGCTCGAAAGCGACGCGGAACGGTATTTATCCGGCGTGAGCAAATCAACCCTCAAAAGAGCGCGTTTTTGCGTCAGAACAGCCGTATTATCCTCCCGGTTTTTCTCGTTTCCCCGGCCGAATTGTAGAGACAATTAAAAACCAAATCTGAGATCTCAAAAGAGAGACGATGTTGAGAGCTTGAGAATATAGCAATTTACTCGTTGTACGCGAGTTATGATGACTTCTCTTTCCATATTTCTTTACAGTTGCATAATTTTACGACCTCTTCCTCATTTTTGCTAAGCTCCAAGCGAGCCGCCCCATCGGCGATCGGCAACACGACGCATTAAAGGGTTAACGCTCTACACGCGCGCGCTGCAACTCTTTCGTTCGGTCCGAAATGTATCGTGGGACGAAAAGTTCCGAGCCTCGGGGTCCGGCTATTACGAGGTGGAATGCACTGGATCCTCGAGCACACGTGTGTGCGTGTGCACAGGCGTGTGCAACACGTGCGCGAGCACGTCTCTGCTTCGGCCGCGGCGCACACCGAGTCCCAGCTTTATACAGTTAATCAAAAAATCGAATTAACGAGAAGCAGCTCCCGGCTTCATGGGCGGTATGCCGCATTGTTTATCGCGCATCCCCACTGATTATCATTTGTTATCACTAACGTCGCGACCTTTAGTACCTTAACCCTCGTTCCAGGACGACTGGCGCGCTCGCTCGCTCGCTCGCGCGAGCCATACCCGCGAGATTCCATCTCGCTCAAACGGAAACGAAGCAAGTGTCGTGCGTTTTAATGCCGCGCGTTTACTTCCCTTGCGCAATAATCCCGGCGTATTTTGAGCGAAGCAACGAATTTAACGTTTCGCCGAGCTACCTGCAAATTAGGCTAACAAGCTGAAGTCGTGTCTTCGCCGGGGCGAACGATGCTGCAAACAGATCGGAGACTGCTAATTGGTTGACTTCACTTCGGCGAGTGTACGTTTATGTTTCTCTCGGACGCGGTCAGCCAATACTAATTATATCTCGCTCTTTCCTTTTATTGATGTATTAATGTCAAATTTTCAGATATTCCCTTTAATGAGACGCGCAAACGTATTTCTTCGGCTGAGCATTTCGAATGACTATGTAGTCGTACAAGTACTAACGACATTATCTCCAGTATCCACGTTTTCCCCGTTCACACAATATTTCACCGTCTAATTAGACATTTCACGTCGACGATTCGCATAATAGAATAATACGATCAACCCCGTCTCCCTCCCTTTGCGCAATATCCATTAGTTTGAGTATTGACGAATGGAGAGTGGTCACGCGCAAACACGGCGAGAATTTTAATAGCAAACGAGCGCGTCTCGAGAAACGCGAATTAATTGGAAATACGTGTATGCGGGTTGTTGCGCGAATTTTCCCTTTCCGACGGTCGCGGCAACAGCTGGAAACGTTATATCGCGAGGCCCCGATAGTAGGCGGCCTTACTGAGCGCGCGGCCTTACTACGCACGGCTCTACTTATGCTACTGTATTAATATTTATGAGGTCCTCGCGAACGCAACACGCGAACGGTCGATATTATAAAGCGCGATAGCGCGTCCTATATAAAGCGACGCGAGAAAGTGATAAATTCGGATCGTTACGTAACTGGCCACACGCACACTTTTGTAAGCCGACTTATGTAAGTCGCGCGTCGGAGAAAACGAAAGAAATATTCCTCGCCGGCGAGCGGTCGTTCAATGACGCATTATGCTAACTCATTATCCGCGCGGCCAACGCTGTCGTGCCGGGTCTCAGGCTGTGGGTAGGAAGAATTCGTGACAATCGTCTATACGGTGCATCTTAATTGCATGCAACTAATGGACGGATGATAGTCCACGTTAGAAAACAAAGGAGCTGTCCTATAAATATATGCGCACGATGTCCCAAGTCCGTCGGACTTCATTTGCGCGCATCCTCGAACCGGTTTGCAGCAGATTCGAAGTAAACAGATTCGAAGTGTGCTTTGAGAAGCGAAGGAGCATCGTGATATTGTCTGTACGTATGTGTATATACCAAGGCTGAAAATTGCATTCGAAGCTCCGGCTCTTCGAAGCTTCGAATATCTGAACCCTTCGACACACTATATTGAAACGATGAAATGTTGAAATGTGTGAAAAGTATCGTCCAAAATCCAATATCTTTACGTTATACATCTTAATGTTATCCGGGTTAAACTGACACTCGCTAATTGCACAGCATTTTGTCGCACCCTCCGAAATCGATTCCGCCAACAGCTTCGGTATTTCGAACCCTCGAATAATTCGACTTCGAATCCCCGAACTTCGTCATGAAATGTCGCATTATATCGAAGTTCCGACGCTTGGAACGTATCGAACGGCACTACTAATGTACACACATTGTGTATACACGTATGCTTCATACGCGGACGTCGGAACGCTTTTATTTATCGCGCGTGCAATCGAGAGGTCCCGTCGCAGAGGAACATTAGCGGTGACAGACGACGGTATTTGCATCCGCGTGGCCGTCGTTAAGTTCCGCGCGCCGGCACCGGAGCATCTGATCTTTGACATTGTAGAATCGCCGTATTGCGACAGCGATCTCGGCCGCTTCTCTACCTCACGTGCGGCGCGCGAGGGGGGCCGAGTTACCTTGCGTGCGTGTGAGCAACATCGGATGAGCAGCTCGTGAACGCAGCGCGCGCACCACCTCAATGACGACGTATCAGATCGCGCGAGGTAAAATCAACCTAGATTATTTAATTCATGCTCGGCCTGCGGTCCTCGCGTCCCCGATCGCGCCGATCGCCCGTGGAAAATCCTCCGCCGGCGTCTCCTTACATCGCACGCGAACTCCGCGAGAGAGAGAGAGAGAGAGAGAAAGAGAGACTGTGCGCGCGTACATCCGTCTTTAATATTTTACGAGATGATACTAAATCATCGGATGAAATCGCGATTATCCCGAGACACATCCTCCCTTGCTCGTCGCTTATTCGTAAATTACTCTTACTCCGGTAG